AACTGTTCTAATCTGGAAAAAAAAGGTCGAGAAAGGGTTTTGCCATTCCACAACTGAGTTTTTCAAGGAAGTTATTCTTAGATAGAAGAATTTCAATTTCCGTATATTGAGTAGTCGGATAAACTTATGCCGTTTTTTGGAGTCAAAAATAGCTTGAGAGACCGAATGTTTTGACAGCATAATATATATTATTCAAGAGAAGTTCCTTTACAGATTTGTTTGCCTAGTTTGTTCAAAGATCTTGGGTTCCAAAACTAGAGATGATTGAAAATATGTTTCCATAGAACTAACTAAGAAAACGGCCAACCGACACTTTTTTCCTGGATTGAGGAACCCAAAGTGCACAGTAGTGTTACTTAGAGGGGTAATTTGCTATGCTGATCACAGAGAATAGCCTTTTCCCACAATACGAATTGTAGGACTGCGGTTGTGTACGATGAAATGTCAATAAAATTAGTTTGCTTGAAAAGTTGTCTACTGGAGTTGATTGACATTCTGAATACAAAAATTGTATCCACTACTTGTGGTAACGCCTATAGACATGAAATTATCCAATTTTCCTTTTCCAATCGATAAGTATTTTGACCTTACCAACATATACCCATCCTAACTTTACAGGGAGGACTTATTATGGTATGATTTCTGTATTTTCTTTACAACCTAATAAAAGGTGCTTCATTTACCAAATTATTTCTGTTAAATCAGAAGTGATTGAGATTGAAATTTCTTAGGGCCGGAAAAAGCTTAGCGGCTATATCAATTTTTTAGAATGCAAAAATTTGAAAACTGCTATAATGCTAACTCGTACGGTAATTACGACGCTATAGCAATCATCTTTGTTCTTAAAGATCAGACCTTTATTGAAGGATTATCTTAGGATCAGCCAAATCAATGACTTACCTTAAAACTATTCTACTGAATAATCTGAGCACAAAAATTCTATTCATTTCTTATAACTGAGCCATTTCATGCAGTGCGCAAAACCAATTAGTTGTTCTAATGCTTATCAATGATTCTGATTTGTTCGTCGTATGCCTAACCTAGCTCTAAAATAAGGGCATCAATGATAGATCTTTGGATAGCATGAAAAAAGACACAACTAGGCTACTTTTCAAAGAGATTCCTTAATGATCTATGTGAAATTTAGCTGCGATAATCCTATAATCATTCCCTATTGTGGAGAATGGATATGATTTTTGTTGTCAGCATATTCCATTACCCCACAGCGTAGGATTATATCAACTCCCAACCTTTCTGCATTCCAAAAAATCAATCTATCGAGTGAACTTTACTTTGAAACTTTT